ATTTTTCATTAAGGCAGACAACTTTGTAGATTGCATAGTCATATTTTGTACAAAATATGAACTTGGAGAATCCTTAAATATAAAAAGTTACAGCTGTTTACACAGCTACTTAACTTTAGAAACACTAACTGGTCAATCAGGGCTATGTCTACACTACCGACCCTGTGCCACTGTATGGTCTCCCATGTAGCTGCTCTATGCTGATGGGAGAGAGCTCTCCTATTGGCATAATTAAACCACCCCACAATAAGCGGCGGTAGCTATATCAGCGGGAGAGCGTCTCCTGCCAACATAGCACTGTCCACACTAGCACTTCTGTTGGTGAAACTCATGTCGATCAGGGAGGTGGTTTTTTCATACCCTTTACCGACAAAAGTGCTAGTGTAGACATAACATAGATCTTTGAAATGTTGACCTTGTAAATTCATCCATCCACCAAAGTATATGAATGTGTTTGTCCAAAGCTCCTCCAGCTATAAACATCATGGTTTACTTCCCTAAATGTGAGTTGCTGTTTGGCAGTTTGTAAATGTGACCTGTTAGATTTTGTTCGTATGCTCTAATATCTGAATTTCGTTTCATGAATTCAATTTGAATCACAGTATCGCCTATTTGCTCAGAATTCAATGCTAAAATCCAAGTACTGAGTTCAGCTTCTGAGTGCAAAAGATCTGTGCAAGGACCATTGTGTCAAACATTAAATAAAAAGATAAAATCCACTTGTACTAAATTAGTATTTTGTCTTACTAATAAAACACTGATAGTCTTAACTTTGCTCCTTTATAACATCTTTCTTGGTAACATAGAGTCCAGTAAAGTGCTATGGACCTTCAAAGAATTTGTAGAACCTAGTTGAAACCAAAATATGCCCCTAAACTTTACAGTATTTAGGGTTGTATGTTAGTTTATGTAAAGAAATAATCGACCAATTATATACGATTAGGTAGATTAAGTTGCATTATATGAGTGTTGCATTTGATAAACTGTCACTTGAGATATAGGAGTCACTTCACTTCAGTTTCAAAAAAAGTCTTAACTTTCACTGTAAAATATTTGCAATCAGATCTGGGCTTGGGTGATATATTAAATTGATCATTGCCTTTTCTGCTATGCGATATTACACTCTTCATCTTTCTCATTCATTTTGCATGCATCTGCTCACTTCTGTACAGCCACAGTAGAGGCAATTGAGGCTGAAAAAGGTATGATCAGAGTCTTTGCCAGCAGCAAAGATCTGTGGTGTCTGGGCGGGAATTCAAAAGTATTCTGTGTGCATGTGTCTTACATTCAACTTGCACAACCAGAGATGAATCAACTGTATTAATTCATCCTTTTTACATGTAACATTCATTTCTTGCCTTAGGGTAATAACTTCCTTTAATAATGTTTCAGAGAAATCATTTTGTTTTTTCTCCAGTTTCTTTACAAAATGTGCAATAGTTTTTTTGCTTTTTATTTGTGTAAAGCATGTTGTGATATGTGGTTTGTGTCTTGACGACTTTAAAAAGTGGTAGTGTTGAATTTTATTTTTTCTGAATTAAACTGCAGATATGTTTTGAGTTGGGGGTGGGGGTTATTTATGCATGTTTCTTTTGATGAAGTTTATTTTTAGTGGCTTGAAACCTAATCTTGTCATCATTTTCCATAACACATCTGGTAGTGCAAGACCTATCATTACAGTGTTCCTATTTTTACTATGTGATTTTGAAGGTAGTATGCTGACCAAATTTGTTTATAGTCTGTATAAACACACCTGACAATGAAAGGCATAGCAAAATACAGGGGTTGCCAGTGCTGCTGTACCAAATATGTTGCTGTACAGGCACCCTTTGTTAATGTCGTTACAACTCCATACAATTTTAGGGTATGTAAATAAAAGCCTTTTACATACACATTTTGATTTCCTATATCACAATGTTAAATGAAGTGAATGACAAACAGCATAGCACTTGGGAGACCCTCCTTAGTATGTTTCAAATTTGGTCGCAAAACACCATTTAATGACTACTTTTTTTATATTATGGAAATCAGATATCCAAAAATGTTACCAAGAGCCAAATTCTGTTCCGTTGTAATCAGTGGATACTGCATGCACACATAAAACAGAAAATTTTGTTCCTAAGACTTCAGGCTTTTCATATGGTCAGCCATTTTTACATCTAAATGCAGCTGAGTAAGAAGGCATTTCCTATTTCATTTAAAATGATGTGTAGAAGAGTAATATCTAGTTTCCTGTTTAAAGCACTGCCCAACTGATGACTTCTAAGACTGGTCATGTCCATTTCAACCATCCACATGATTAGAACAGAGTTAAAGCCATATTCTGCAGTTTTGCCTGCATGGAAACTGCAGGATCAGGACGTTGATTTGTATGCAAAATCTGAAGGCTTTTTTTTTTTTAAAACACTTGTGCTGCTTTGCCTTCACTGCACTTGCTGATCTGCTTATTGACATTCCATTGAAGTGAACGGGATGTTAAGATGAGCCTGATACACACAGCAGCAAAGCAGTTGTTAGCACTGATCACACCAGGAGTGCTCAGCAACAAAGTAGGTTTAAGCCACCTCGATTCTTACCTGAAAAATATTTGCCATATACTATTTTGATTGTCAGTTGAAATCATGATTGCCATTGAACATTCCAGGAAAGCACATTAGATAAGCTTTTACTAATTCAGTTGTAGAGCCATAAAAGTTCCTTTGGCTAATTTCTTAGCTGTCTTTTAAAATCATTTTATTAGAAAAAGTATATACTTTCAACTTATTTTTCTGTTACTGACCTATGAAATTTGCATTTTGTTAAGCAATACGAGGATTTTCTCCGCAACATAAAATCTGCAGTTTTGAAGAAGCAAAAGGTTTGGATAGGATCAATGAGAGAATGCCACCAAGAAAAGATGCTCTTCAGCAAGATGGTATTAATTCTGTAAACACAACAAATGCCAATGGAAACAATGGAACTGGCAACAACAATGTACAGTGACCACACCAACTTCTGGTTTTACTCGTATGTCTTGCCTGAGAATTCCTAGATTACTGCTTTTTGACATGACAACAGATGAAATAGCCAGGGGATCAATCAGTCAAATTGACTTCTTAATATGATGTGGAAAACGTAACTTGATCCCGCTGAAGACAAACCATCATGCTTTTGAGGCAACAGCCCCTCTCTATACGTGATGACGGAACATCTGTGAGCATGCTTCATATATTTACAGAAATTCCAACATTGCTGGCTGAATATTGAGGAGAGCTATGGGGAAATGGTTGGGCTGTTATCAGTAAAGCACATCTAGACTAGCATTTTATGCTTATCATAGTCAACACTTTAAGTTTACAAAATGGGATTTTCTTTTCAGCAGAGCTAGTTTGTTTGTTTGTTTGTTTTTCAATCAGACTTTCAAATACAACCCTAAGAGCTACTATTTATTAATGGATATTGGTTTCATGAAGTGTCTTTAAAAACATAGATTAGAATAGTCTTTAAAAAATCTGAGGCTGCAAAAACTGTATGTTAAATAAATGGAAAAAATGCCAAAAATCTCAGTTGGTCATTCTGTAAAATGCTGACCTCAGGTGTACTCCTTAGATGTTGCTAATTCTGTATTATATTCACTGTATTTTTTAGTTAAAGCTTATCAGAAGATTTCTATGTAGGAATGTTTATTACTTGAACACAGATTTTAAAGTATTTAATGTAGAAACTTTTATGCCCAGCTTTTGAGACTCTCCCCACACCTTGAATTTAAAATATATATAAATAAATTTTAGAAGTCTGAAAAATAATGCAATTGTTAATTTTAAGGTACTTTTAATTGAACTTTGTACATTATGTTAAAGTACATTTTGATTCATATCAAGTCTGTAAAGCTTGGCATTGTATTTCGTGTATGCATGTTTTCATTTTGCAAATATTTAATATATAGACCTCTGATGTACAGGAACAACATCTATAGGTTATATAGATGTTATGGGTACTTTTACTTTATTGTGAGTATTAAAGATGCTTAAATAGCTAATAATCACTGGGCAGGCTGAATAGCTGCAAGCTTTTTATTATTTTTCTTAATTCTGTAAAGGAAACTGAAAATGTTATTGAAATATTTATGCAGTACATAAGCAATTGTTCTGTTCAGTTGTTAAGGCATTAGTGAAAGTGTAAAATCGAGACTGCATGTTTTTTTAGCTACAGGACTGCTTGGTTAAACTAAAAATTGAAACCATATGCTGATTTGTTCACAAATAATGAACTGTACTGTTTGCCACTGTACTTTGTTATATATTTTGACATTTGCTACCTACCTTTCTCATCCCCTGGAACACAACTTGAAACTTAAGTCACTAGAGTTCATCTCCCTTTTTGTTTGCCATAAAGTACAATCTCTAGAAACCCCTATCTAAGTTGAAAATTTTATGCATGTTCTGAAATATTCAAGTATTTTATAAACAGTAGCACACAATAAATTTTGTGCATGGGCTGCTGCTTCTAACATCGTGTTTTTGTTTTATTATTTTGAATAGTATTTTTCTAAATCGTTTTAAATTGGCAGAAAAATGGATATAGTGTAAATGGTCACTTAGTTCAGCTTTAAAGCAATATAATTGAAGCTTAAATTGTCATCTTGAATTTCTGCTTCCATTTATTTTGCTAATTTTCGTTTAGCGAGTTCTTGCAAATAAAATACTTCAGAATTTTTCTCGACATTAAATTTGACATCCAATGATGATTTGTACAAACCTACAAGGAAGGTCAATATTAGGGTTCACTCAAGTTTTTTTTAAAAAGCTGTTCATTATTGATGCCTTTTGTATTTGCTCAATGGTTGTGAATGACCATTTGTGATGTCAAGTAAGGTGGCTTGAGAGTCAATAGTTGATAATATGGTAAGGTTGAATCTTGCTAGTCTGTTTTGGTTGAAGGTAAATGAGAAAATCTACTAAAAAAGACTATAGTATATTCTGAACTATAAACCTATTCTGGTTTTACTTTATTTATTTTAGATGCAGTTTAACTGGAAATAGTGATGAACAATCTGAACACAGAAGACCAAGTGACTGACAAAGGTAAGTGTTATCAGTAGACATAATTCATGGGCTATGTAGTCTCTGATATGTGACACTGGGACAGAGCAAAATTTGCACCAGTATCATAAACGTATAAATAGGGGCCTGTCAATTTCATGGTCATAGGATTTTAAAAATCATAAATTTCATGATTTCAGCTATTTAAATCTTAAATTTCATCATGTAATTGTAGGGATCCTGACCCAAAAAGGAGTTGTGTGTGGGGAAGGGGCACAAGGTTATTGTAGGAGGGGTTGCAGTACTGCTACCCTTACTTCTGTGCTGCTGGCAGTGGCGCTGTCTTCAGAGCTGGGCAGCTAGAGAGCGGTGGTTGCTGGCCAGGAGCCCAGCTCTGAAGGCAGAGCCGGTGCACTGCTGCTGGTGGCAGAAGTAAGGATGGCATGGTATGGTATTGCCACCCGTACTTCTGTGCTGCTGCTGGCAGGACGCTGCCTTCAGGGCTGGGCGCCTGGCCAACAGCCCCTGTGTCGCCAAGCTCTGAAGGCAGAGCAGAAGTAAGAGTGGCAATACCATGACCCCTCTAAAATAACCTTGTGACACTCCCCCTGCAACTCCCTTTTGGGTCAAGACCCCCAATTTGAGAAACGCTGGTGTCCTGCCATGAAATCTGTATATAGTATAGGGTAAAAGCACACAAAAGACCAGATTTCATGGAGGGAGGGAGGGACACCAGATTTCATGGTCTGTGACGCATTTTTCATGGCCGTGAATTTGGTAGGGGCCTAGGTATAAAAATTTAACCTAGACGATGGTCTGCCAGTGCTGCCTTTTTGATGGTGTGAATTGGAAAAATCCACCAATCCTCAGCCAATTGTCTTTAACTGATTGGTTCTCTGTGACCAGTTTTGATAAGGTAGTATTCCACACATGCGCGAAATATAATACAATTAAAACCTCATACTCTGTGAATACAATCCCCAGGCTTCGGGTGATCCCAGCATGTGTGGCGAGCAACACCAAAGCCTAATGTAATTTGAAAATCTTAAAAGCCTGTTAAAAATAGATATGCTTTATTGCAGAGATTCCCAAACTGGGGTTCGTGAACGCCTGGGGGTTTGCGAAATGTTACAGGGGGTTCTTGGGAAAGAAATCCCTAATGGCGGACAGAGCTGTCCCTAAAAATCCTGGGCAGCATCGGGCCAGCAGCCCAGAGCCCCTGGATTTCCAAGAGCTAAGCAGATCAAAGCAAGCCTATCTATCACACTGAGGAGATTTAAACTTCAAGACTCCTTATAAGAAATGGAAAGGGAGGTGGATATTTTTTGCTGTTTTTAAAATGAAATAGGCAGCTAATGTTGTTTTTAAAATTATTATGAAGAACAAGTTTAAGCTTTGTTGTAACTGCGTTGTTTGCCTGGACTGCTCAAGACCTGAATGCTTGTGTAGGAGGAACTCTTTGAGTTGACTTCTTAAATACTTTCCTGCTGTTTCACATCTGATACTCTTTGATGAAACATAGGAACCTTGTCTTATAACAGGCTTATTCAAAGTGATGCAACCTACGAAAGTGAGATCTTGGAAGAGTGTTGCCGTTTTCATAATGTAATAAAAATACTGCAATGATTAATAATAATAATAAATAGTGTGTAATAATCATGTCATAAAAACAAATTGTGTATTTCCAAGATCACTGCTTTTATAATTTATACTCCGGTAAAGGAGATAATCCCTGGAAATATTCATTTTTAGGAGGGGGTTCGCGAGACTTGACATTTTCGTGAAAGAGGTTCACAGGTTGTTAAAGTTTGGGAACCACTGCTTTATTGAGATTGTTTTTGCCTGAATCTCAACTTGCTCTGTGGATCACTACTTTACCAGAACACCTTTAGGCAGAGAAATCTGCCTCTGGGTGGGTAACTGGTTTTTAAGAAGGTAATCCTTTCACATAAATGAAGATGTCCTCCATCTTATCTCTGAAAAACATTCTTCCAGTAAAAGGCAGATAAAGGAGCAACTCCTGAATATGCCTGAGACTGAATACTCTGAGCTGTGTATACTCCCAATAGTGTCCCAGTCAGATGCATTAAACATCTCTCAGTGGATGCATTGTCATCTCTATTGTTGTATGCAGTGTTGTTGTAGCCATGTTGGTCCCAGGATATTAGACAAGGTGGGTGAGTGTCAGAGTCACCGGGTCAATGCTCTGGAACTACTCCCTATGAAGCCAGCCAGGAGTCTGGGGAGCCTCCTCTCTCTGAGCATACTGTCGCCAGGACAAGAAGCTTACACAGCTTCGACCTTCTTGGGTCTGACCTTGGAACATTCGGCATTCCCTTCCACACCATGTGCTTCTCGCAGCAAGTCCGCCCTGGCGGGTTTCCTGGGGAAGGCAGAGGGCCCTGCCCCTCAACTCCACAGTCAGTGACTCTCAGCCAGCCAGTAAAACAGAAGTTTATTATTTGACAGGAACACAGAGTAGAACAAAACTTGTTAGCACAGAAATCAGTGACTTTCAGCCAAGTCCACCTTGGGGAGTCCTGGGCCAAAAGCCCTGGACTCCCCCTCTTCCAGTCCCCCCCAAGCAGTCTGCCAGCTTCCAGTGACCCGACCTCAGATATCCCCATTGCTCCTCCTCCTTGTCTTTGTCTCACTTCCAGGGCAAAGAGTTACCTGGTCGTCACCTGGTTGCATCCCCCTACTAGGTCTCAGGTTACGAAGGGCACTGGTCATAGCATACATGCAGGCAGCTGGGGCAGCCTCACCTGCCCCAGAGGGTCTCAGCCAAAGTCACACACCCCTATTCCCATCACCGAGGTATTGGTGCGGCACACAGTATTCATGCAAAACAGTAAAGCTCACATAGGCTAAACAGTAAGACTCACATACAACACAAAAAGGGGAAATCCCCACTTCCTCACAGTGAGATAATATCTTTTATTGGACCAACTTCTGTTGGTGAGAGAGACAAGCTTTTGAGTTACACATAGCTCTTCTTCAGGTCTAGGAAACGTACTCAGAGTGTCACAGCTAAATAGACGGTGGAGCAGATTGTTTAGCATAAGTAGTTAACACATATTTCATAACTTAAATTCATAACTTCACTAGACACTAAAAATCATGGACTGAATAGAGACTGGATTTATGGCTTGTTACAACAATCTGTAACCCACTAACAAGCCCCCCCCAGTGTGAGCCCGAATGTCTACACAGCAATTTATCAGCCCTGTGGCCTGAGAGTCAGCTGATTCAGGCCATCCACAGTTTTTTTTTTTTTTATGCCTATGTAGACATACTCTTGAGTACATTTCCCAGGCCTGAAGAAGAGCTCTTTGTAAGCTGGAAAGCTTGTCTGTCACCGACAGAAGTTGGTCCAGTGAAAGATATTACCTCACCCACCTTGTCTCTCTTGTCATCTCCATACATTTGATCTTCAGGATGAGGTTTTTTGTTTGTTTTTGATGCCCTCCTGCTTATTTTGGGGATGAAAATCTGAACTCTAGCACCATCCAGTCACATTTCAGCAGGAAATCCTTCTGATTTGTCAATGTGAGTGTTCAGCTTTGTCAGTTTCTAAATGTGTTTATCCACATACCTGTCACATTACTGCCCCTGCTTCCAGAAAGCATCCAGATTTGGCCCTGTCTAAGTGCTATCTATTGCCAGACTGCTGTAGAACAGGTGTGAATAAAACAAAGCTGAATTTCAGTGTGTGGTGGTGCTTAAACATTGAGAGAGTGGGTTTGAAAAGCCTGTTCAATCAAGCAGAGCGAGGCTGCATGTTACTGTCTACTCCTGAGAAACACCTAGTTCTAGGAATACACCTAACTCTGTCCTTGTGTCTCAGAGCAGTTCTCCAAAGTTAATATATAGCCTGAACCTAACAAATTAGGGAAAATAAGTTTCCAGAGGGTAGGAACTGTCCCTTCAGCTCATTCTACTGAAGGTATAGGGGATATGTGAAATCTTTTCTGAGAAATCACATTCCAACTCAGTCTTATCTCACTGTACTGCGAACTTCTCTAATAATGCAAAAGGAGAAGGTAGAAGAGTTAACCCTCATGCAGTAAAAGCATGCATGATGCCCATAGTTCAGGAGAGGACATACACATCAATGCCAATTAAATTTAAAAAGCCACAGATCTTGAAGCCCCAACATTGAGATCAAGCATGAGTTGACATCTTTAGCAAAGACTTTTCTGCCTTAATTAAATGTTCATGATGCTCTTATACCTGAGACTGTTCTGTCTTGATTCTCGGAGAGGGAGAAACTACCACCTTTTTGCAGGAGCCACACACAACTCCAGTTAAGGGAATAATTGCAAATGACATTTTGATGAAAATCTTATCTTCCCTTTGCAGAGTTTAATTGATCATAAGACTCTGAATCCAGAACATACAGAAATCCTGAAAGTGGATTGCCAGCTCTTCTCTAATTGTGCATCCAAGATGCTGATGTAGAAAAATTTAGATGTCATGTGTACTATCGATGCGGTGTTATGCCTTGGCTGCTATATCTGATGGCCTAACCCACAAAACAGGAGAGTGCAGCCTAGTGGTCAGAATCCTTTGGGCTACCCTTGCTTTCAGAGCGCGTGACCTAGCAATCAGTGTTCTTTGGGCTACTCTTGCTCACAGGGCAGCATGACCTAACAGTCAGAGCAGACTGAACTACTACGCAGGGTCACAGGCCCTCCAGCAGGGTGGAGCACCAAACAGTCTGGCTAGCTCAGGCCCTCAGGCAAACGCAGGCCTTTTGGCCTTAGGTAGGGAGGCTGTCCCCCGCAGGGGTGGGGTGGCACTACGGGGTAGGGGGACCTGGGCCCACCCTACTCCACCGGTCCCAGCCCAGGGCCCTAACAGCGGTGGATGGTTCCACCACTGGATCAGCGAGGATCCAGCCAAAACACGCTGACGGGTTTCCTGGTCCTATTTCCCATGAGTCACTTCCTACCCGGTCTTTCAGTGCTGCAGTCCTCTGGGTCCCTGGGGTTGTTGGCTGGCGAGATCTCTGTCAGCTCAGTTCCCTTCCACGTCTCCGCAGGCAGTCCGGGGTCTGCCTGGGGTTCGGGGTGCCTGGCCTCTGGGGATTGGTGCTCCCGTAGCTCTCTAGAGGAAGCTTGCAATACACATCCTTTGTCCTCGGCAGTCCAGCCCAAGTGAGCTAGGCTGCTTCCCTTTACACCCTGTCTCCATGCTGAGCATGCCCAGCAGGGGTGGAGGGGTGGGGCTTCCTCAGCCTGCAATGCACAGTTAACCCCTATAGAGCCAGTGTGGGATAGATACACCCTGTCACAAGCACCTTCCGAATTACAATGCTTCCTGGATACTTAAACTTACAACTTAAACTTTTCTCCCGTCAGAAACAAAGAATTAAAACCTAACTATTAATGTCCTATAAATCTCTCACACATGCACTCCACCAGGAATCCTTAACAATCAAACCCAATAATCAAGAATCAGTTAAAAAGACATTCCACTGAGTTTATTCTAGAGATTTGGAGTTTCATGTTAACGAGCCTGTTCCTTTACTAGTGTTGTGGCCTGACCTCTGATGGTTACCGCAGAGAAACTCTCTCTCACTGGACATGAGATGAGTTCTGAAGATCTCGCTCAGTTTTAGAAAAGTTACCAATTTGTTTTGAAGGTTGTAACTATGAACAGAAAATCAATAAGACCTTTGTTGCTTAGTGCCTTAAATATTACATCTCGTTAGCCTAGAACCAGCTAAAATGGCTAGGGCCAAAATTGTTAAATGCTGTTCTGTAAGAAGCATAGCAGTGCCCTAAATTTGCTGAGCCGTCTGGTCACTGATTCATCAAACATTACTAGTTGGATTTGTCCTAGTTGCTGATAGTTGTTGGTTATTAATAATAATCTCTAGCTCTTATATGGTCCCTTTCATCAGTAGATCTCAAAGCCGTTTACAAAGATGCTAAGTATCCCTGTTTCACAGACAGGAAAGTGACTTGCCCAAGGTCACCCAGCAGGCCTGTGGCAGAGCCAGTAATTGAACCCAGGTTTCCATGCCCAGTCTAGTGCTCTATCCAGTAGCCCTCACCACTGTAATGTAAGCTCTCATCTCCTTTAGCTTACTGCTTGCAGTATCCACTGGTTGTCTGTTCCATTCCTGTGCTTGGAGCAGGGATGGCTGTCGCTTTTATGTTCCCTGTATTTGGCTGTATAGAGACCTACCTGGACCTCAGTGTAAGTTAGAGCAGTCTCAGGGCTGTTCATAATCTAGTTACGGGCCTGGGAAATGAACAATAGCTGTAGTCTAGTACGTTCTAGCCACATGTCCAATCCTTCTCCTACACTGGAGCGGAGGGGCTGGTGCAGAGTCCGCGTGCCATTTTTACACTGGCTGGGGATGGGTTGTATTCTCAGAGGCTATTGCTGCCCATTATGAGTACCGTAAGGGGGCTTTAGTGTAACTGAGAATAAGGCCCAAAATGTTTAGCATGTGTTATGGTAATGGGCCATCGTCTACCACTTTATGGCAGACTTCCAAGCAGTTGTTTTTTCAGATCTGTGAAAAGACTTGCTGTCATCTAGTGATCTGAACTGGAAACTGAATCCTCATTTATGCTATACTGTAAATTCTAGTGGTGTGTGTATGTAACCCCATCATCCAAAATTACTGTTTACTCATTTATATTATTTTCATTAACAAAAGTCCATTTCAAGGCTTCTCTGTAAAAGTCGCTGTTGCCTTGTAAGTATATTGAGCCACGAAAATGTCTCACTTAACTAGATCTCTAGTGGAATGTCTCCAGCCAGGTGTGGCTATTTTTCTTTTAATTGGAGCTCTCTTGGCGCTCCTGCCGCAACTGGCCCCGCATGCGGCATTGGAACCGGCTAAGGCTCGCTGTGAAGGCAAGCCTGCCGGAAAGGCCTCGCATAAGTCAAGAGAGCGCCGCCAATCTCCAGAATCAAGGCAGAGCCCTAGATCGCCACGTCCTTGGTCTCCACATTGGCCCAGGTCTCTGGCTCACCAATATGCACCGCGCTTCCGGTCTCCGCCTTCGCGCTGGAGCTTGCCCTTCACGGTCATGACAGGAAAAAGACGATCGCTCCACAGTCAGCAACGGTCGTCGTCGCACCGTCAGTCACTGTTGCCGAGACCTCAGGGATGCTCCCCAACACGGTGCCACTCTCCATGCTCCCAGCACTGGTTGGACCGTTCCTGGCACCGGTCACCTGCGGAGATGGTTAGCTGCCAGACCCAGGCTTTGATGGCCCCGCCCTGGTCACCGGAGGACGAGGACTTCTGCGGCTTGGAGAAGTAGTTCAACCCCTTGCCTAGACAGCAGTTCAATTGGGCTCCGCAGAGTGCATGTGCTGCGGCGATGCCGACCTGGCAGCAAGGCTAGTGGCCGATACAATGGCCTTATTGGAACACTTGGGGCATACCTATTATGCAGGTGGCCCTATCCCACCAGCCTTCTCTCGCTGTGTTGGACAAACCCAGGACAAAACCAGAGGCACCAGGATCGGTGCAATCACAAGCCTGCAAGGGTGCTGAGCACTGTTGGCCTCCACTGAATTCAGAAGGAGTTGAATGTTTTATGTGTTGTACAGGAGCAGCTTATTCATCAGCAACAGCTGGCTGTAACTGACCCACCTTAAACTAGGGGTATGTCTACAAAGAAACCTAGGTCAACATACTGCGGTGGTGTGCATCCTCACCAGGAACACTTTCACCCACCTAAGAGAGGCAGTGTGGGGAGCTGAGAGCCTGGTCGCTCTGCCAGGAGTGAGGGGGAAGCTGGCCTGGGCTTCTCATGCCTGCTCCCCAAGCCATGAAATTGTCAAGGCTGCCCAGCTCCTGGCAAGCAGGAGGCCCCTCAGGCTTCTCGCCCCCTGGACTTCTTGCCCCAGCTCCAGGGGGGCGGAGGGGTGAAGCTTTCTTGTCAATTACATGGCAGGAAACATGAAATTGACAAGACAGCGGATGTAAGGAACACAGTGTCTACACAAATACTGCCTTGTCCCCAACTACACTGCCATAAGCCTTACGTCTCTCGTGGTGGTGTAGTAGGGCACTTATATCGGTGGGAGGATGGCTGTAGTGTAGACCAACTCTAGGTTTCCCAAAAAGTCTCACATGCGAACCCTTTTCCACAAGTTGGTGTCTGCACACTTTTAAGGGGAACTGTCAAGTTAAATCACTTAACATTTTTCCATGTTACTAAGACCTTCAGATTTTCTTCCTACCATTTATGCTAATGATTCTACTTTGAGCATTCCATGGGTCTGGCCATGCAAAAGGAAGTATAGTTCGCCTTTTAGTACACAGCTTTGAGTTTAAACATTCCCTTGCAGTGTTTTACATTTGTTTAAGGCTACCCAATAATGGCTTTTTAAAATAGCCTGTCCAGTCATTTACCACATAAATATTCATTCATCTGAGTAAATTAGATTTGGGAAGATCTCATCAATAAGTCTGTGGGGATGTAAAATTCCATGAGAGGGTAAGGGTCACGATGGGACACTTGCAAGGTAATAAATCATGGCCTTATGTAAGGCCCCCTGGTGGTTATATAAGATGAGGCCTTATGTAAGGAACATCTGAACCAATCGGTGTGGGGCTATACATGTGATAAACACATGACTCTCCTTCTTGTCCAATGGGTAGATGTGTAATTATAGCCTAATTGTGTTATGCAATGTTAAGAAAGACTATAAAAGAAAGCTTGTAATAAACAGAGAGTTCAGCAAGAAGGATTATAAAGAAAGCTTGTAATAAACAGAGTTCAGCTTGCAACCACATTGGTCGTGTGCTTTATCCGCTCCCCATGCGGCCCCACATAAGTCCCTTTATTTTTCATTTGGCACCATAAAATTAGGTTACAGAGTGCACTTGTCATTCCAGGCCAAACACTATCATGACTCATTCAGGCAGGCCAGCAATATTAGCCCATTTCTGATTACTTCCACTCTACAATATTTGCTGTGCACACACTTAAACCATTAATACTTGGACTCAATCAGGTCATATTTTTTTACCATTGTCATGGAAACTGGTTCTGTAACAGAAATAACCTGAAGTAGCCCACCTCTCCTAGGAAGGAACAATCAGTTTCACACATACAGAATGGGAAGAGACTGTCTAGGAAGGAGTACGGCAGAAAGGGATCTAGGGGTTATAGTTGACCACAAGCTAAATATGAGTCAACAGTGTGATGCTGTTGCAAAAAAAGCAAATGTGATTCTGGGATGCATTAACAGGTGTGTAGTGAGCAAGACACGAGCAGTCATTCTTCCGCTCTACTCTGCGCTGGTTAGGCCTCAACTGGAGTGTTGTGTCCAGTTCTGGGCACCGCATTTCAAGGAAGATGTGGAGAAATTGGAGAGGGTCCAGAGAAGAGCAACAAGAATGATTAACGGTCTTGAGAACATGACCTATGAAGGAAGGCTGAAAGAATTGGGTTTGTTTAGTTTGGAAAAGAAAAGACTGAGAAGGGGACATGATAGCAGTTTTCAGGTATCTAAAAGGGTGTCATAAGGAGGAGGGAGAAAACTTGTTCACCTTAGCCTCTAAGGATAGAACAAGAAGCAATGGGTTTAAACTGCAGCAAGGGAGGTTTAGGTTGGACATTAGGAAAAAGTTCCTAACTGTCAGGGTGGTTAAACACTGGAATAAACTGCCTAGGGAGGTTGTGGAATCTCCATCTCTGGAGATATTTAAGAGTAGGTTAGATAAATGTCTATCAGGGATGGTCTAGACAGTATTTGGTCCTCCCATGAGATCAGGGGACTGGACTCGATGACCTCTCGAGGTCCCTTCCAGTCCTAGAATCTATGAATCTATCCTAGCCTTGTTTTAATTTGTATAGACGTCTATTGGTTTTAGGAGGGGTTATGATGCACTGTGTTTTGTCACCCTAAAATGTAACAGAACGCCACTAGCCATCACCTTCAGCCCCCAACTAAAACCTCTCCAGTGCATCATCAAGAATCTACAACCTATCTTGAAGGACAATCCCTTACTCTCACAGATCTTGGGAGACAGGCCAGTCCTCACTTACAGACAGCCCCCAACCTGAAGCAAATATTCACCAGCAACCACTAACCCAGGAACCTATCCTTGCAACAAAGCCTGTTACCAACTCTGTCCACATATCTATTCAGGGGATACCATCATAGGACCTAATGACATCAGCCACACTATCAGAGGCTCGTTCACCTGCACATCTACCAAGGTGATATATGCCATCATGTGCCAGCAATGCCCCTCTGCCATGTACATTGGCCAAACCGGACAGTCGCTATGCAAAAGAATAAATGGACACAAATCAGACATCAAGAATTATAACATTCAAAAACCAGTCGGAGAACACTTCAATCTCCCTGGTCACACAATTACAGACCTCAAAGTTGCAATACTCCAACAAAAAAACTTCAAAACTAGACTCCAACGAGAAACTGCAGAATTGGAATTAATTTGCAAACTGGACACCATTAAATTAGGTTTTACTTTGTGTAATGACTCATCCACTCCCAGTCTTTATTCAAGCCTATTTCCCCATGCTAATTTTCCCCCCTACTGTTACTCACACCTTCTGGTCAACTGTTGGAAATGGGCCATCCTGATTTGTAGTGATAAAGTTTTTTTTCTCCTGCTGATAATAGCCCACCTTAACTGATTACTCTCGTTATAGTTAGTATGGCAACACGCATTTTTTCATGTCCTCTGTGTATATATATCTTCCTACTGTATTTTCCACTGCATGCATCTGATGAAGTGGGTTTTAGCCCATGAAAGCTTATGCTCAAATAAATTTGTTAGTCTCTAAGGTGCCACAAGTACTCCTGTTCTTTTTGCTGATACAGACCAACACGGCTACCACTCTGAAACCTAAAATGTCAAGGTGGTGTTGAGATCAGCTATGTTGCTCTTTTGAATAATTGGCTAAGCAATTTAGTACTAAAGATTCTGTTGAGACAAGCGTCCCAGGACTGTTTTAATGAAAGGGTTTAATCCCTACAGACCTTTCAAGAAGTGCCATTGAAGTCAGTGGAACTACTCAGATGAGCAAGGGCTGCAGAATCTTTGTACTATAATGGCTGTTTGAAGGAAGTAATTTAACGTGGCATCTCAGTTGTATTTTCTGTGGGTCAAAAATGAGTCTGACACTTCAGGTAAATGACAGTAGATACATCTTATTTTTAGATAGTAAAGTATAAATGTGCTCTAAATTAAGGCAACTATATGTGCAAAATAAAAACTCTTAAATCATTCATAATTAAGAAGGCATATTTGGTTATGCAATATTGAAAATCATTCTTTGTTACATGCAAGGCTAGTTATTTGTCTCCCTAATAAGCTCGTTACATGTCCTTCACTGTGTTAAAATGTAAATCTTTTCTATTGACCAACGATTGCCAGCAGCAACTTCCTGTAGTCACCACTTGTGTCACTTGATATCATTGTAGCCAAAGTCTTCTGGTACATCTGCGTGAACAGCTGCTTGATCTGTACAAGATCAATCTGTGTCAAAAGAAAAAGATAAGCATAAAACACTCAACAATCAATCAGTGTCCAGTATGGGATAATTCAGTAGTAGGGTAAGAGTCCACTTGCAGTGAACCCAGACAAAACATCCATTCATTCCCTGTACCCCATAGCAGCCCAGACAATGCAAGCAAAAAGGAAAGAGATGCTCTCTATGCATGACACCCTCTCAGGATCTGTCAAAGCTGCACCCAGCCTCCTGACCCTCCCAGAGGTTCCGAGGTTAGATGACACTTTGGAGTCTTGCCATTGCCAATACTTCTGTAAATGGGTGAAGAAGGCTGCTTCGGCCTCTGGGAGCAAACAGACTGAAAGGCCCTCTCTTCAAATTCTCCAGTCCACTTCAACAGGAAAAGCACACCAGGGTCCCTTCCCACTGCTTCTAGATCGGTAAGTCACTTTGAAAAAGCAAGAAGCAGCAGACTCTTACTGTGAAATACTCCAACTTTTCCTCTCTAATTACATATCAATGGATGAGACATGCAGGGTTAACCCACCACATCTCAACAGCCAGCCTGGGGTTCCTGATAGGGAGAATCCTCTCCAAAAGACAAAAATAACAGGAATCAAAAAGCATCTCATCTCACATGAGTGCCAGCTCCACCCCCACAAGTAGGGAAGCCTCTGCTTCAGAATGTAAAATTCAGAAACAGTGAGGTAAGCTCCTTAACTACAGTCCATATTTGAAACCATGAGGAGGAAGGAGGCAGCCACCAACAAAAGAAAATGAGCAAGCTCAATCATTTCCTCCAACCAAACTTCGAAGAACTTACATAGAAGTGGTAAACTGATGATAAATGGAAAAGTACTAGGGGAATTCTGCACCAGTGCGCAATGCAGAATTTTGCAGAAGTGAACATTGTGTGCACAGAATTTCCTTTCCCCCACAGAAATAGGCTGCAGTGCTGCTGGCCGCCAATAGGGGTCGCTGGACCTGGCAGAGCCCAGCTCACAAATAGAAGACAAGGCGAGGGAGAGGGAACTCCAGCAGCTGCAGTTCCCAGCATGCCCTGAAGTAAGGAGGCAGCGGAGCGTAGGAATCTCCCTGCAAGCCCAGATCCCAGCATCAGGCTGTTTCTCCCTCTGGATCCCTGGGCTCTGTGGTATGGGGGGCAGGAGGCTTGGGTGGGCACAGTGGCTGGCTCTAGGGAGAGGGGTTGTGGGTATCTGGCCTCCCGGCTGGGCTGTGTGGGTGGGGCAGAGAAACAGGAACTGGGTTGTCATAGGGGTTTCTTTAATTTTCTACTCCTAGGGGAATTTTTATATTGTATTGTCTGTATTGTTACTGTCAGACAGGTATTTTGAAATAAATTACCAAAATAATTGAAACTGGCATGATTATGTAGTGTTGTTTTGACAAAATTTATAGAATTTTAATATGCTGTGTTCAGAATTATTAATATTTTGGCACAGAATGCCCCCCAGGAGAAGGAAAAGGCTCAGCCCTGCAGTTCTATAGGATCCTAGAACTCAAATATTCTCTCTTCCCTGGATGGAGCAGCAATTCCCTGGCAAAGGATATGGTAATTGCAAGCTGGAGTGGTTCCTTCCCAAATATTCAGACCATTCTTTCGTCCCCTTTCACTGTTAATGAAGACTAATTGAAGAAAACAGCTTCCTGGCTGCTAACTTTATAGCAAACGGACCCATGGATTCCAGGAGGTTAACGGCACCTAGCCTGGGTGAATATCTTGTGAACAGGCTGAAATCTACTTTCATAGACTGCTTTGTGAATATTTGCAAATGAATTTGTTCAGCTGATTCTCAGAGTAAGAACTATATTTGCATAGACTAATTCTGACAGCTCCATATAGGTGACAAGGAGAGCAAAACTGGTTAGGGTACATTGATTTTTCACTACATCTGCGGTGTACATCCAAAATTTTTAAACTCCTGCTTCCTCCTCATTTTTTGGAAAGGA